CGGGATATGCCGAAACTTAATGGAACCACTAAGTATTATGATTAGTTCTATCATTTTATGTCCTCTAAAGTAGCTGCCAGTCCTAGTTTGGAGGTACAAAGTACCGTAGACATTTTAATAAAGGGAACTAATCACAAGGTCGCTGAAAACTCTTCGACAGCCCACGACTGGTTTCGTCCTTCTTGGGGCGCATCAGATAGGCGCAGTCCCCGGGTTTCCGGTTTGTAAAATTGTTTGGTTCTGAGGTGAGACTCGACTGAATCCGAGAAAAAATTCATGGTCAAGGCTTGCCAAAGTATGGTTAATCTAAACAACGAATTGCTATATTTTGAATGTCATCCCAAATGAAACAGAAGGCGGGCTTCATGCACCTCATTTATTTGAATATCATCGGCGGAATCTCGGGGGCTGCGCCTACCTGATGAGCCCCAAGAAGGGCGAAACCGGTCGTCTGCTGTCGAACAGTTTTCAGCAACCTTGTGAGTAGTTTCCTTTATGAAAATATACTGCGAGATCTCGAATATCGTGCCAACTGAATCATGAGGCAGCCTATGTGCAGCACATTCAGTTGTAGAATATCATACCGTTTTGGAACAGTCGAAAAATTTATTGCTGGGTGACGTTCCGCTTGTGCCACAGGAGCTTCGTCAGGCCGAGTGACTAGATTACGAGGTTGGTTGAGATTTAAGGCGGAAGGAGAACAGTGGACATTATATCGATTCCCATCACAAATCAAATAGCGTGTCTTTAGGCCTTAGGTAATTTATCTAAGTGATAACCGCAGAATTATGGAAGCTGGAAGTATGGTCAAATAGAATTTTATTTCAACGTAGCTTCTAAACGGAGTAGAGAGTCATTGTTTGTCAATGCCTACTATAAAAATGCCACGTAACTAGTTGAAGCACAATGGCAACCTTTTTTTGGGTAAACCACGTATTTTCTCTCCTACTACCGAAGTTTTTGATTGAATTCTAGGCGTCCTGATGTTCACCTTGTACTCACCAGTACGTTTCTCCTGCGAGGGTCATTTTCAGTCCAATAACTTCATGGCTCACTGTGATCCCGAAAGATCTCGTTAAGCTCACAATGGTAAGAAAACTCACTGTCCTTACGCATTAGGCATTCCGTAAAACCTGCGCAAAGAAAAACAGGTCAGGTGTTAAAAGGACACAGGAGAATACCCACCAGGCAAAGTACTGTAAAACAGAGGAGCAGGATCAAATAAATAACATTAATAATGGCACAATATGTGCATCCAGCGATCATACCATGTATTAATAAGCCAGGTCAAATATCATCACCGCCCAACCCTCTTAATTGAATCCTGCATCCTCGTTGCAACGTAAAAACCAAAAAATATGATATCAAGTTTTTATCAGAGTAAAATCATTAGGATACAGTGAACTACGGTATGTTGTCATCGTGAGGTGACGGTTCGTGGGCCTCGGCGACCCATTGAGCTATACTGGGGGGTGTCCGCATGACATCCGTAGAGTCTTGCATCAGGTTAATCAGTGGTGCGAGGTCTAAAAAACACAGCCTCCTGATCCCCCAGGCTGAAGGCTGCAGCATGTGTGGCGATGTGTTTCGTAGAAACGATAATGTGCTTCCAATTCCAGCCAAACACTGCTGAATTGTGGTCAGGCTTTTGAGCCAAAGGCTTTGGTTGAAGACCATAGTAGTCGTCCTGTCTACGTGTTGGTGCCCTGGCAGTATCCCAGCCCACGCACATATACAATTAAATTCATGCCACATCGGACATCGCATGGTGGCATCAGCCGGGTCACCCTACTCGCTGAATACACTAGGGCAAGTAAGTGAAAACAGGCTACTGCTTACGCCTTCATTCTTTCTTTTTCAGATACTTGATATCCCCTCTCCCCACCCCATTAATAACTCTCTTCTTGTAGGCGCAGCACTTGGGACTGATGACTTGGTTTGGCATCGGCTTCGCAGGCAACACTTGCGTGTCATCCGGCGCCGACATCCTCAGGCATCCCGGATTCAATCTTCAAGCCCCGACGCACTCTGAAGAAAGTATGACAAAAAGGTGCTGTTAGTCTCACACTGGACTTGCTTGACACTGATGTGTGCTGTGTCTCAGAAACAAGAATTCAATATGCAAGCGTTGAGCTAACCGCCCCATCACTCTCCAATCTCATGCGGCTGCTCAGCTCTGTGGATCCAGAGACTGCTGCGGCAAAATATACAGGGATTGGTATCGTCCTAACTCACGCGATGGAAGGATACTTGCTTGACTAGATACCCGTTGATAGTCGCGTCTGCCCGGGTCGCCTGGCAAGGTCTGTGAAGAAGTCTCATAAGGGGGAAGTTAGTCGATGTTTGTTTGTTGTGTCTGTTTACGCCCCAACTGACTGTAGCCCTGACATCATCAAAAATAAGTTTTATGACGCCCTGAATGCCCTGTTGCAAGGAGCTAAAAGATCAAACTTCTCTGTGTTTGCCGTAGATCTGAACGCACAAGATGCTTAGTCCATCTGAGACTCCGCTAAGTAGTCTACATGGATTGGACTCGGTACGCACTGAAAGTGGTGAACGATCGCTTCACCTATGCTCTGACCGCGAGCTCACGTACTAACTCCCGGAGTGGCTGGAGGCATATGACCACACAGTGTCCTCCAACGGTGTACCGGCCACGAACTCAAGTCTGTTACAGTGCCATCAGTTACCGATTGGGTGGGCCAATAACTGACTGCCGGTCGTTTTGGAACACATTTGTGAATATCGCCTGAAGTATCTTTTCCCTTCGTTTTCCAGGAACCCATTGGGTGCGAAAAAATCACTTAGAAACTGAAAGAATGCAGATCCGGATGTTAGACGAATTTACCAGAATTGTTTTCTAGAGCCTCTTCCGAATTATCGACCATCAGATCTGAATTCATACTGGGACGAGATCGCCACCTCTTTATACAGTGCTGGGAGTTTTACTTGTGGCACGGCGTACCAGGCTCACTCAAGCACTAGATATCAGACTGAACGGTGACGCTGCTTATTTCTCGGAGGGATATCCCACCCGATCCCGAACAAAACTTGGCTCAATGAATTATCAGATATCAAATGAAAGTGAGCGTGCGAACCGATCGTGTAGCCATGGAAATGGAAGAGGCCAAGAAAGCCGGGAATGCTCGAAGATTATTTCACTTGATCCGTGCGACCGGCCCCCGGGAACCATTTGTGAGCGAAAACATCATGAATGAGAATGGAGTGACCATCTTGAATAAACGAGAACGCCTCGACAGTTGAGCCGAGTACCTCGAAGAACGCTTATCATGGCCAACAACTGCCACTCATCTAGAGCCCACGGTTGACGTAGAACCCTGAATAGTGAACACGAAACCCCGTACGGTCTCGGAGGTTCATGACTGGATATGTCCTCTCAAGCGCCACCGAGCCTCTGGTTCGGATGACCTCCCACTCAGTGTTCAAAGATGGGGGTGAACTCCTCAGTCAGCACTTGTCTGACCTATTTGCTTGCACTTGGGAAAAGGAGACTATCCCAGACAACTGGGGAGGGTTGGTGGTAGTGGCCATTTTCAGAAAAGTGGCTCGTAGTGAGTGCGTAACCACGGGGAGACAAGCTTGAACCCCGGGTGTAACGAGACTGTTGGGGTCACTTGTGCTTCGTCGGTTCATAGTAACCCGTGAAACACTGACCCTTGAGTGGCAAGCGGGGTTCCGGTCTGGTAGGTGTTGCGTTGATGTCAGGCGCTAGAACAACGCCATATGTAGCAACGATCCACAATTTTAGTATTCCTGGATTTCCAAGATGCGTTTGACTGGGCTGACCGGACTATTCTTCTTGTCATGCTTTTCCATCAATGACTGTCCCGGACTTGTAGAACAGTAAAATATCAAAAACGAGAGATTCAGTTGAGTCTCTCGTGAATATTAAATTGATTTGCAAATGAGTGTATTCCCGGTAAATGGTGAACTCTCCAAAAGCTTCCGTACACAAAAAGGAGGCTCTCCTTTCTTATTTAATTTCGTCATTATTGAGATAATGAGGCGAACACTGGAAGTTCTTGAAAATCCCGGTATTACAATCGCCTGTGACAAAAATCTTGTCAATCTGGAATATGCAGATATCGTTCTCGTCTCCGTAGAGGAGAAGAAGACGCAGGTGTCTTGGATGAACAGGCAAAAGTCATCCCCGTTTTCTGGCATGCACATTGCACCCACATATTTGAAGGTCATGCCTCTAAACATGCAGTCATTAAACACGTCACTTACAACCCAGTGACTGTCACTCGAAGTTGTGGAGCGTTTCGCGCACCTTGGAAGTTGTATTAGTTCTGACTGTAGTGTGACAGATGAAGTCAATGCACGAATCTGCAAGACTCTGGTCGCGTTTCATAATTTGAGGTATCTATGGTGTCCAAGCGGTGTATCCCTGAATCTCAAGGGACGTGCGTATCAGGCTTCAGTGCAGGTTGTGTTGTTGAATGGCTGTGAGACTTGGCCTGTCCGAGCAGCGGGACTGAGACGTCTCCAGGTATTCGACATTCGTTGTCTCAGGACCGTAGCCCGTGTAGTTTGGTGTCAGCGAAGTCGTAATGAAGCTACTACTAAGTCTCTTCCCTGTTCACCTTTATTATTTTCTCCACAACAAGACTTTCAAATAAATCACTGTTGTATGGCAGCGATATACACCTACACAGAGTCCGTCTCATGGATATGGTACAACTTGTGATGTTTTGCGGTTGTGCCAATTAGCTCCATTTCACTGTTCTCTTTTCGGTGAACGTCGGTCGTCCATAAGTTAACGCTGTTTCGCACATGATCAGCTGATTCACAGTAACCTTGAATGCTCATAGGTCACTTTCAATACAAGGCTCACTATTGGTATGGCTAGTGATTTTTCCAAATTTGCTTGTCGTATAAAATGAAATAATACGTCGTAAAAAACCAATATCGTGTGTATTTCATTCACAATGACTCCGCACTCGAATAAACCAGAGTGACCATTTTTGCATTACAACATGTCCGATTCTACAGGAAATCGATTTCTTGAGCAGCTCTCACGAGCGTTTCACGTGGAAAGTACAGCAGTGACTGTTGTCATTCTAATTTTAATCTGTCTACTATGTGTTTCAGTGACTGTGGTCCTGGTGATGTTGATCATCCACTGTGTGAAAACGCAGGCGACCGCAAAAAGGAGAAAAGGTTTTCGAAAGCGGTTGGCATCTGTGTATCTGGATGATATATCGGAGCGTGGAAAAACCCGGGGGAAATATGGCCAACTCTTATTCAGCATTCACTATCAGAGTGAAGACGGTAAACTCATCGTGGTCGTCATGCAGGCAACATTTGGAGAATCCTCTTCGGTTGAGGCTTTTTCAGACACGTACGTAACAGTGAAACTGGCTTCTGACAAATACGGCAAATTAAAGCAATGCGGAGACCCAGTTAGAACGGATATGCAACGAAAAAAAGAAAGCCCGTGTTGGAATTACCAGTGCACTTTCGATGTAGAAAAGAAAGATCTGAAATACACCCATATACTTTTTGAACTGTTTAGTTATGACGCCGTCAGTCAGGATAAAAGCATTGGACGTCTAGCAATCCCTTTAAACAATTTTGACCTGGGTGATTATATTGACAAAACTCTGGAACACGCTGAATGGTTGCAGGCTGGTGAGCCCAAATTCAATGGGATTGGCCAGGTGTACTTGGGACTAAGTTACCAGAAAACCTTGGAAGTTTTGGAGTGTCAAGTATTCGAAGCAAGAAACCTGAAAATCAGTGAATGTATGAAGGCATTAAAGCACAAACAAGTTAACGTGCACGTGGAGTTGCGATGCAATCAAGTTTCTCTAGGTTCGTTTGAAACCCGTCCCAAATCGGACCTGCTTACGCCGTATTTTAACGAAAGATTTAACTTCAAGTTAAACAAGGATCAACTGTCGGATGCAAAACTTACTTTCCAATTGCAAAGCTGTGGAAAACAAGGCAAAAAACATATTCTCGGGAGTTTTGCGGTAGGCTCGACCATGGATATGTCCGGTGGTGGGAAGCATTGGACAGAAATGCTTGAGAACAGCCCGAGAAGCCAAGCGATGTGGCATGCTTTGATTCCAAAGGAAGTTTGATAAAACTCTACGGACCCTTACCTGTGAAACTTAAACATTTGTTGCTTCTAATAGCTCACCCGTAGCTGCGGTGGAACTTACATTTCTATAACCGACGGAGGCTGGAGTTGTGTGTAGAAACGTAGGGACGTACGCTCCAACCGATTTGTACATGATTGTCTAGTATGAGAGGATATGTTCGTGAGTCAACTAATAAAATTATCTTAGTGAATCTTATCCTTTGTGCTGCAACCGTTTAGATGAGTATGTTTATATATAACAAGGGCTACTTATCAGCTTCCGTCAACAAAATGTTTTGTCGTATCATTTATTTGTGCAAATTAGGCGATACCGAAGATTGTGCTTTATTTTTTTAACTCCCGTTGTTTTTATGATAGGATATGGACTGATTACTAAAGTACTGGAAGAATATGGGTGATAGGCTTACCAGAAATACCTGCCTACCATTTTCGGTGAACACCTGTTGACCCGGGTGTCAAGGCACTAAGAGTCCTGTAGGAATGTTCCTGAAAATTCAAAGTGTTAGAGGGGAAAGCAATATGTGCTTCTTCAGTCATGACTGTATCTACTTTTGAAAATTCATTCTATCGGATAGAGACACGAAATCACACGAGCCCATCAAGGCAATATCAATTTGGCATTATCCATTGAGAACAAGCTTTGAGAACAAGCTCACCTGCGTCTTAGAGTTGACCGAATTCGCAGTGTGTGCAGCAGTAAAGTATGGAGACACTGTCTTGTCCACCCACCACAAACGATATAAAATTTCAAGTAAAAATGATTACTATAGGGCAACGCACCACCTTATGCCAGTGCATCACAAAACCAGTGACAGTGGCAAGAATTTTGCTAGTTTGTTTTTTGTCACAGCTTATAAAATTAGCCCTCCATGGTGTGCACAGCAAATTATAGCGGCTGAAAACCTACCCTAAAAGAAAAAGTATCTATCATCTGGGTAGGGGTATGAAATTCGCGTCAGTCACATGAGTTGGGTAGATGAATGGAATTCGTCTACTGAGATATCAAGAAATATTCCAAGCTTACAGAACTGTCAACGACATAGTACCAGTGAAAACGTTGGCGGGTTTGAAGATCACTTGGACGCGATCAGATGGTGAGGATCTTGTCAAGTAAATACCTGAAGAACATTGGAATTTGGAGACTAAACTGAGTCTTGACTGAGTCGCCCATTAACACCTTGCTTGCAAAAGAGGTTTAATCTGCGATGATTTGAGTTCGTTTTATGTAACTATGTCTACAATCTAACATTTGGATTAGAAGTGGGGCTTTGGACCTGTAAGAGACTACTAGACCCCCAAGATAATCTATCCTTGAATTCATATTTTGGTCACAGATTTTCTAGTTAAGGTGTAATTAAGACTAATTCGCAAGTTTCATTTCCACATATCAGTTCACAAGAACGCCAAAGAAATGAACAAACCGGAGAGATTACTTACAGTTTGCACGATGTTACTTTAGAAAAAATCCTCCATCTGTACTCAAATATCGACGGACGATACTGGACCTGGATTTATCTCTAATTGGAGCTCACCCGCCGTGCATCTCCATGTTTGCCCTTGGATTTGTACTTCAAACACCCGACTTAGAAAACGAGCTTTTGGGCAGGACTTAAACGAATCACAGTAGGCGAAACGCGTTACCTATTCTGATATTTTCAGACGACCAACCGGAATAATCATGTTGGGACAGCAGGAGGACATTTTGCACCGTTATGTCCACCCACACATTTTAGAGCTCACAGACTACTAAAGGCATTTTTGCATTTGATACTACATGCTTTACCCATATATATATATATATATATATATATATATATATATAGGTTAGCCGGGAAGGAAATGCACTAGCTCTGTCCAGCACACTGCCCCAGAAATGAGTAATTCCAAAATTAGGACGAAATCCAATTTGGTCGTTTGGCTTGAAATTGGTGCCATTCAAACGGCAACCTCCATGGCGAAACAAACTCAACCCTGAATATCCCAGAGGAATAATTCCCCTCATACGGGGGATAATGATGATCCGTACTAACAGTACGGATAAGTTTGGTTTCAAAGCGATTTAGGTTATCAGGTACAGCAACCTTAAACACGATAGTTATCCGTAAAAATAGTCCCCCAAGGGGGAGGTTTTTGTTCTTAAACAATGGTATTTTCCGTTGTCCAAGATTTTGTAGACAGACGTCGTTCAATATGATGGTCAGCTGGGATGCAGAAACCCACTGATTGACATGCCAACAGAAGTGGAAACTCAGTAAATTTCAAATTTATTCTGCACAGTGCATCCGCTTCTCCAGTGAGGAGGTCCTGGATTTCTGTGCAGGCCACCGGTTTTGGAAGGTTCCATCTCACTATCTCCTTTACCCACACCCTTGCTACTCACTTGATATGTCAAACCAGTACTGTTAAAAAACACCCTGCGCATTGATGTAGAACCGTGCTCAGTAATGCCTTCAAGAAAAACTCCTTGAGATAGGGTAACACACGTGTAATACATAGCCAACGCATGGGTAGTGCAAGGTATCACTTTCAGAAAGACACCGTTTAGTATGTGACTACCCTCGGAGAAAGGCTTGTTGCTCGAGGAGTTCATTACCTCGTGATCTAAAATGGTATTTAGCTTGTCACCAGGATTTATTTGCAGCAGCTCTCTGGATTTGGTACAAATTCAAACTTTCAAACTATCCATATAGGGACCTATTTTCACTATGAAGCGAAATGTGTATCCAGATAATTATTCTAAAATAAGAATTAAAAGGTTTTAGCATTGTCAAATGCCCGAGGGCAATCATCCAGAAATCGTCGCCGGGTTGACGGAAACTCGGGGACTGCGACTACCTGATGAACCCAAAGGAAGGCGAAACCGGTCGTGGGTTACCGAAGAGTTTCAAGCATCCTTGTGAGTAGTTTCCTTTATGAAAATATACTGCGATATCTCGAATATCGTGCCAACTGAAACATGAAGCGGCCTGTGTGGAACGCATTCAGTTGAGGAACATCATGAACGAGAGGTTTGCTCGAGTCTCTCATGAAGACCAAGTTGATTTGCAAATGAGTGTATCTCTCGAAATCTTTATCACTGTTATAAGGATGGAATCTCAAAAGCCACTGGTTGTACTGCTTCAACATGCTTCGGCAACATTGAGTTTATCGCCTCGATTAGGGAAACTTCACCTGGCTCTTACAAGTGAAATCAACAACCGACCCGTATTAGTGAGTAACCGGTAGGCTTAGATAATTTGTAAAAAAAATTCCTGATTGCCATTTTTTTCACGGAAATTTTATATACCACTGATTCGAACTATGTATTCAAGTATATTTAACGAACAAGGCTCGAGTATCCCGGGTAAGTACACTGTTCCACCGGGAAAACTTCCACAAAGCAACTCGAAACAGCATTTGACAGGATCTATCCTGTGCTAGGGATTGTGAGGACCCCCTGCCCCGTTTTTTATAATAGCTCTGGTAGCCAATGTTGATATGGTAATTACTCACTACATCATATTTCCCGAACATGGAGTGATATCTTTTGAACTTTTGCCAGCGCCAGGCTCATTATTTTCCAAGCACTGCGTGGAACACAGGACATGGGTTACGGGCAGTAAAAAACGATTTTTATACTATAAGTAATTTTAGTCAAACCTAAGTAGAAATAAGAAAAGCCACCGTTTTGTTGTGATTCATCCGGTAATAGACCTTGTGACCCTACTAATGCGCGCACTACTCAGAAAGAAAAGCTTCTCTGAGTAAACGGGGCGAAAACAACGCTTGATCGCCGACGAATTTCGTTCAGCATTCCCGTCCTATCCGCAAACAAAATAAATTAGCCTGTCCAGTCTGTTTTAGCCAGAAGAGACCTTTCAGTCTTGGGTTTATTTTCAGACACATCCTTGTGTAACTCTACGTGGCAATATACTCGTTGCTTCTGATTTGGTCAAGAAGCTCTCTTTCTCAGACAGATCCTAGGAGATGGGCTACTGCTACCTTTAAACTGAAAAGCCAAGACTAAGAGGTGATATCTACTTGTCCGGCATGATGAGGGGCAGTTAAGAATGCTAAGCAACGTCTTCGTTGATTTCGAAGCATGACACTATTGTGGCTTGTGTTCAGCTGTAAAAAGCGCTCAGCTGTAGCACCCTTCCAGTGCCTAGCTGCCATGTCACCCGAAGGAAGCACGAGGGCTGGGATACTGCTAGGTTGTCCAAGCCTAGACAGGGGAAGTCGAGTGGCGGAGGTCGGATTCGAACTACGAACCTTCCGGTCAGTTAATTCGCGCTCTAACCACTTGAGCCATCTCGCCCCATTGTGGCTTGCATTTCCCTATGTTTACTCCGAATGTTGACGGATTATATTTCACAGTTTATTTTGGGTAGAGGTGTGGGCAAACTGCCATTAAAGAAAAAGAACTAGTTAAAGGCTCCCTTCCGAAATGTTCCTTGGGAAACTGAATAGTTAATTGGATAATATCCCGCTTACACAAACCAGTCATACTGCTGATCCACAACTCTTTGGTGAATGACAGAGCGTTTGACTTTTGGGTAGTGTTTTAAATCTATACAGTATATTGTGGTACTGGTGTACTGTACCGACTGAAACATGAGGCGGAATTTGTGCGGCAAATTCAGTTGATGAATATCATAAAGGAGAGATTCAATCGGGTCTTCTGCGAAAAACAAATTGGCCTATAAATGATTTATTACAATTTATGTTGATGGAATGTATTGCGATACTGGTTTACCATACCAACTAAAAATGAGGCAGCCAAGTGCCATGAACAGCAGGTTCAGTTGGGTTTCTCGTGAAAACCAAATTGGTGCGCAAACTAGCGTATTTTGCTGAAGCGTTTACCTATTAACTGTAAAATTGAGGGTCCAAAGCTGCCTTAAATCTTAAGAGATCTGCATAGCTGGCGATGAAACAACGATCCAGTTTAGGTTGGCTTTACCTGCACACCTATTCTAGGCGTGACAAATGGTCCTC